TGACAATCCTCCTAATGTACCACATTTGTAGGAGACTGGCTGTATGCCCCTGTGTCAATGCCATTTATTTATTTATCTCGCGGGAGGGCGACGTAGATCCTGAATTGACTGACGGAAGTTCACTTCGCGTCATCGAGATATGTGCACGTCGCAGGTCTGTGTTCAGTACTCAACGGATTTCTTTTGAGTCCGAACACCTCCGTATCCATATAAGAATCCCATGTTGTTAGGTCTGACTACACAGCTTGATTGGCTACTGCCAGTGGGTCATTTGGTTCAGACAGACTGCTATGCATGATGTCATGTGCTTCAGTGACGGGATGGAGACCTGTGGGCTCTTGCCTGGCACGATACAGCAATCGGGTGTCGCATGATGGGGGCAATTTGATCACCGCCAAAGTGCGCTACAGTAAGCGAGTGAGCAGGGCTCTGCAGCAGCGTCTGTCAACCATGCGCCGGTGGTACTTTTTCTTCAACTCTTGGTAGCCCTCTTTCTTTTTGTTTTATCCAGTCCCTTTGTATTTATTTATTCCTTTTATCATTTTCCAGGGCATCGCATGGGTGTCTCGAGACTCAGCTGGTTAGTGGCCTGGGTTTGAGGCTGCGTGCATCATTTCGTCTGCTAAGAACCCCTGTATATGTCCTGGGGATTTTCAGGGGAGAACAGACCCAGTAGTGAAGGGAATCGCACCGGCATTCAGTATGAAATAAGCTATATCGTAGCAGGGGCGTCTTGTTCGAATCCAGCCTAGAGGCCACGCATCGGTCCTGGTTGTACCATTTCCCGGGCTATTTGTTGTATTTTTTCCACATTTATGTATCCCCGCTGTGCCCTGCGTCCGAAATCGTATGTATATGCAGTGGGATTCCGTGGGAATGCGGAATTGTTCCGGGGGGTAGGAGGAAGTTCAAGTTTTCTTGTGCACATGTCATCGAGCTCAAACTTTTCGCTCGCCGCTAGAAACATGCTTCAAAAGCTTGAGGTATGTATTTATTTCGATACCAGACTGAGGAATGTGCCTGCCGACATCAAAGAGAAACGGAGCAAGGGTATGGGCGATATACTGTGCAAAAAATCAGTGTATTTTACAGGGTTTTCACAGACAACTTACAGCTACTTTAGCTTCTTCTGGATGCAATTTGGCTTTCTGGCTAACAACTTGGATCTTAGCTTGGCGACATCCTCCAACTGGATGACATCTCGGGGCTCGATTGCCGAGAGCCGCCGGATCATCTCGGCTCCCCAGCATTGCTCAGTATAACCGGGGGATCCTTGGAATTTGATTACAGTCACTCACGAGGGATTTGGGTGGACTCCGGCACGGAATCATAGTTACAGTAGATCTTCCTGAGTGTGCCCTCCATGTTTGGGGTCTGTTCCTGTCCAAAGGATCCTCGAGGACTCCCAATTAGTTCAAACCGTCTCTGTCACTTCGGCTGTGTTAAATCTCTTGGTACTTTGAATTTACAGGTGAAATAGAGCGAGATTTAGTGTTTTAGTATTAAGGACTTCTTACATTCATTATAGCCCAAGAATGGCATGGTTTCCATTTAGGGATTTCGGCAAAAGATGTGGCATCAATGTTCCAATCAGTGGCATCATTTTACGCAAATCCAGCTCGATGTGAAGTCCTCAAAGCTGTACGGAGGATTGAATATAGTGGAGAACCACATGTAGTAAAGCTCAGGCAAAGTTGTTCCCAAGTCCCAACTTGTCAGCAGTTTCATGAATTCAACGAAAGTTGCAAGCAAAAACCCTGTTTACAGTTGAGAGATGTCAGCTAATATTTTTTGCACACTATATGTGCCATAGGGAAGCTTTGCTTCCTACACTCATGTCGAAATCCAAAATCCTCGAATACGCTCGCACCTCACTGCTGGGAGCCAAAGCACCATCCGGGGTGCTGATGCACCATGCATCCGTGTCTGGATTGGCCAAAATGGCGCGCTCGCTGCCTCTGGACGTCGAGGACCGTACAGCAGCGCACCCGGCTTCTCACGTCCTCTCTCGCCTCCTCTGGAGTGCCGATGACGCTCAAAAGGGTGCTATATGCCCCAAATCCACTGTACCCCCCGCGGTACTGGTGCTCAATGCGCCTGTGGATCGTTTGGCTGACCCATTATCACGTGCGTAATAAAGACACCAGAAGGACAGAACAGACCAGGTAACGGAGGGTCCGAACCCACATCCCGTGTCTGGTGAAAAATATTGCAGTGGAGTCCCCCCCGTTCGACTCGGGGCCTGGCCATTGAACGGTGTTGAGGAATTTTTTTGGACGGCGATTCGGACAAATGATGAGAGTTTTCGTCCGAAGCAGACAACACCTGCGAGCCGGGAAGCGCACGGCTAGGCCCTCTGCAGTTTGGCTTGTGCATTTAAGATATTCTATGTCCCCCCGAGTGTGATTTTCTATGATATATATTGCCGACAAAAACGACTTGGAGAGCGCGAAATAAAGGGTACTTTGAGGGGAGGTGCACTCTCCAGCGGTCACTCAATTTAATTGGAGTTCTCTGAATACTGCCACTGGCAATGCGACGCGCCGAAGTGAAACAGGCGATAGTAATAGGAAGGCCATGTTATATCTCAAGCACGGCCCTTGAGCCGTGGATGGAGGGGAGAAGGGCCGTGAATGGGGCCCAAGGGCCGTGTTTCTCGATCAAGCGTGCGGGTCGAGTTTTGTCGATCCCGAGACGGAGGCGAAGTGTTCAGATCTTCATGTGCGTCTTGCGTGTTGATGGCGCATGCTAGTATGTTGGAGGGGACGCCACTAAGATGTACCATTTGAGACCCCTTACTTGGCCATTTGGAGTCTAGCATGCCCACATTTTGTTGTTCACTCCCAGGGATAATGGGGGATGGGAGTATGATCTATAACGAAGGTCTGAACCGAATTTGGAGCCGGAGTGATCAGTTGATCGAAAGTTACGACATCTCGGATCAAGACCCGCAACGTGTGAACATTAATTTCTTATGCCGACGCGGCTTGGTTTTCTTGTCTCAACTGGCTCTCCGCCAATTCTTGGCCATTCGGGGACTTCACGTGCTCGATCTGCTCCCCTGATTCGGGGGAATCACCTGCCACCGTCCCCGCCACCGAGAAGTCAAAACCCTCCCCGCTATGCCCCCATGAACGCGCCGCTATTTTTTTGAGTCGCTCCCTTGGCCGACATTGTATCAGACGACACTGTGGGGCTACCACTCTGGAATTGCCTACGATGCTTTTTGGCGTCCAATGGCTCGACGCCGACAGTACGCTGGAATTTTATCTGCCCAACTCCCTTCTCACTGTAATGCTTTACCGCCAACCACCCAATTTTGGTGTTGCCAACACCGGGAATTTTCTGGGGAGCTGTGAAGACTTTACTACGGAGTTAGGGATTTAGATAAGCTGTAGACCTTCCTCCTAAGCTATGTGCATCTTAATTTGGGTCACAGTATGGTTCCCTCGTCCAATAAACGTGCTATTGCTCCAGAGACCTTGTTTCGGGGTTTTCCCACATCTGAGGAGCAGTCATTTACACACCTCATATGGGTTGCATGTGGAGTATTATGTGCTCAAATTGTCACTATATACCCGGGTTAACATTTCCGATGGATCCGGGCGCCGGATTCAAGTCTCGCGACTTGATTTGACTGGGTGGCCAACTAGCCTGTTATTTGGCCATGTTGAACTGCCCGCCGAAATAAATTCACTGTAATGGCAAATCTTTAGATATTTGGGTAGGAGCAGTCCCGAACTCTTCGTAGGATGCCTGCACTCATTCTGACACAGTTGGGCGTGCGTAGGATGAGCGGACAGATTGAGATTGAGGGATGAATGCTTAGGTGGCCAGGTAACACTGCGGGCAAGAGCCAACACATGTGAAATCCACATGCACAATACGCATGCATTCCGGAAGTATCACGCATGTGTTGATTGTTTTGACATGACTTTGTTAAGCCCTTTGTTACCTTTCACATTGTAAGTAGCTTAGAATTTAATGATTTTTAATTAGAATACAAAGCAAAAATAAGCATTCTTTAAGATGCTTAGCAGGAGGTTTTAAGAAACGGTGTCGCCAGCTGCCAATGCTGAATAACGGCTTGATGGAGCCAAACAGGCCCAAATGAGAAGCCGCACGGTTGGTGCGCCGGCCCCTCGTGATGAATGAGAGTCACGGCATGTGCGGCACCTTTGTCCGCTCGCTACTATGCCCGCACATCGCTATATTTCAGTTCAATTGACCATTTTACTTGTAGTAAGTTACTAGTAATATTAGACTTCATTGGGGAGCTCCTCAAGAAGGTTCTCGCAATATCTTCCACTGAGGCCAGATTGGACCACATGGGCATCGCAAATAAGGCCTCGCTGCGTGCTAAACTGATTCACTGCTTTAGCCTAACAAACATGATGTAAAAGGGTGCCCACTCATCGACAAAGGCAGCATGCAGGTAGGGCAGTAGCCTGACAAAGGCAACTTCAGGACACATTTGGACACCCACAAAGGTGACATGCAGGCATGCTGCCAGCCCGACAAATGCAATGTGCAGGCGCGGTAGCGAGCGGACAAAGGTGCCGCACGTGCCGTGACTCTCATTCATCACGAGGGGCCGGCGCACCAACTGTGCGGCTTCTCATTTGGGCCTGTTTGGCTCCATCAAGCCGTTATTCGGCATCACCGGAATGGCATTGGCAGCTGGCGACACTGTTTCTTAAAACCTCCTGCTAAGCATCTTAAAGAATGCTTATTTTTGCTTTGTATTCTAATTAAACTCTAGCTAATTACAATGCGAAAGGTAACAAAGGGCTTAACAAAGCCCTTTGTCAAAACAATCAACACATGCGTGATACTTCCGGAATGCATGCGTATTGCGCATATGGATTTCACATGTGTTGGCTCTGGCCCGCAGTGTAAGGGGTCTTAAATAGTAAGCCAGCGAGTTCCTTGCCGTGGGAAATACTCCGTCGTGTTCAACTGAGTCTTCAATATGATTGGGGTCGTAGGTTGCTAGGAAAGGCCAGGTGGCGGAGGGTCCGCATCCACATTTCGTTGTTATTATTTTCTCGAAGATATATGTGGACTCCCCCGTTCGACTCGGGGCCTGGTCATTAAGCTTTGGATATTCTTTTTGGGTGGTATTTGGCTGATGTGTTGTGCCATGTGCGTCCGTCCGAATTTCTGCATGGATGGGGAGGGAGATGGAAAGAACGGGAACAAGGTGTCGGAAGGAAGACGGATGCCGCGAGCTGCGAATGTTGCTGACGTTCCAACGTCCAAGAAGCTGTTGATGCGTGGGGTTCGAGCACGCTTAGATAAAACAAGGCGACGGAACACCCTCATCCACGGCCCCTAGCGATGTTCATGAATAGAAGTGGAATCTCCTATTCGCCTCCGGGCTTGGTCACTTGATGGTCATTGTCGTTTTGCACGGGCCACCGATAAGCTTGTTGGTAGAGCTTATGGTTGCACATGCACACACATTCAAAGTATAAGTATCCCACGGGATTGAAAGAACAAGCACCGCGCATCTATCCCATCACCGCACAAATCTCTAGGCCGTAAGAGTTCCTTGAAGCCAAACCCGACTACGTGTCAATATTAAGTGGAAGCAATAAGATATCGGTGAGGTGTGATCTGTTAGACTGAGATCGATGGCAGAATAATTCTGAGGCGAATGTGAGACGCAGTGAGGCGCAGTGCGAGCCTACACCACCGTTTGGCGGTACAGGGTTGATTCGTTATGATCAGGCCGTTGTAGATTTTGCCCTTGAAATGACCAATAAGTTGCCTAGATTCAGGCTCTAGATGATGTTTGTGATGTATTGTCCAGTTGTGTCGCGAACCAATGTCGAGAAACTGGTGAGATCAGTTTGGTAGGCTAGGCACTGAGCCGACATCGGCTGTGACCAGGATGTGACGTCGGATCAAGCTTTTGTGCCCGACGTTGAATCAACGTCGGAGGACACCCCATCCCCACCTCGCAGAATCCAGCCTCGGGGAAATATCTTTCAGCCCCTTTTTCTCTAAGTCCGTTGGGGGGGGGCGCTTCTGGGACATTTATATGCTCTTTGTCACTCACTCTCAACCCACTCTGTCTTAATTTGCCTGCGTCTAGGCCGTCAATTTACCCCACCGGGAAGCGGCCGCACTCCAGAGTCACACCACATTGCCCACGGCCTGCACTGGGGATTTCAGGAAGAGGAGGCAAAGAGGAGGCCAATGCAGTACCGGATGTATGGCTCTCATGTGGGGACTCCCTTATGTGTGCTCTGGCGCATTTGGAGTTCTCATTACCTCGAAGATTTTGTGATTCTATTTGGCTCTGAGTTCGAATCTTATTGCTCTCTTTTATTTTAAATATTTCCTCATTTGGCGGTATTTCGCCCTCGGTTCGAGGTCGAAGAGCCCGACCTCGAAATGAGGTCGGCCCCGTCATGTTGATGTGACATATAATGATGACTGGGACAGACATCACGCTCTCCGACCTGGGACCCAGGTTGGAGGACAGACGGTGGTGTCGTCAGACGTTGAAAATCACACAGGTGTGCGCGAGCCAAGTCTCAAGGGGCCGATAGTGTGACTGCCGTAGAGAAACGGAGAAAAGAGGAATCAAAGCAGCTGAGCAGGGTAAAGCGACATCCTGAATGAACCCCCGAACGGTGCAGCAGATTGAAGATGACGGTCGGAAGCAAGGAGGCGGCCGATGATCGCATGAATCGGAGTTCGAGAGATTACGTCACCCACCTCGCTCCTCTTGCACTCGTCTTCGCCGTGCCATCTTGAATGAAGCCCACGATGATAAGATCGACGTCCTCGCCCGCAGCGCATCCGAGGCGGCCCAGCGCGTCGCGCCGCACCCGGATGCGCTGGGCCAGGCCGACCAGCCTGCGCCGCAAGACCACTTTGTCGCCAAGGACACACCGATCGCCGCGGCCTTCAGCTCAGCCTGAGCTGCACCGGTGCATCCTCTACTGCCGCCTCTGGAAACACCCCAGCTGCACCCCACCCGCTCGGCCCCGACGACGATGACGATGAAGAAGAGGACGTGGAGAAGAAGGGTGCGTCCTCGCTGTACTACCTGTGCACTGCTGACATGATATCTATCCAAAGAGAAAGAGAAGCGGGCCTGCGCGGTGCGCACCAGGACAAGCTCGACGCGGGAAAAGCATGGGCGGACGACTACTTCCCCGCCGAGCGCCGCAAGCAGTGGATCTGGCGCACCAAGAAGGTGCCTTCTCTCTTCCTCCTCGGTTTCGCGCTGCTGCGCCGCGCTAATTAACGCGCGCCCCAGGTGGTGATGGAGTGCCAGAAGCACGCAGACTACCAGGCGTCGATGGCGTGGCTGCGCCGTCTCCGCGTGGGCGGAGCACCCCGCGGTGGGCCTGCTGCGCACGCTGCTCGAGCGCTTCGTGGACGGTACGCCGCGGCGGCCCTCCTTGCGCAGCATGCGCGGAACGACGCGGGGCTGCGAGCGTGGTGGGCGGAGGTCGGCGCGTACATGCGCAAGGTAGTTCGTCCCATTAGTTGCGTCACTTTTAAATTCTGACTTGTCTTCAGGTGCTGTTGCATGCGGAGTACATCATCGAGCCGGCGTGCACGTCGCGCGCGCGCGGAAGCTCCAGGATCAAGGACGTGCGTTCTACCAGGACGAGTACAAAGGCGGCTTTGATAATCTGTTCGATGCTGCCTCTGCGTGAGTTTATTCCTTCTCTTTCACTCTCACACTCCTCTTCTTATACTTGGCCTACTCCTTTTTTTTTTCCAGATGGGTTAAATCTATTGCGGCGGACCCGCTCAACACGCACTTCGGCGCAGACTGGGCGCGTCTGACGCGCGACCTGCTCTTCGACGGGGAGGGCAACCTGCAGTTCAAAAAGATACTGTGGGAGGACGTGCATGTCGTGATCCTCCCGGCGCTGATCGAACACGTACGTCTCATCCTTCCACCATCCATTCATTCATCCATTCATCACTTCATTCATTCATTCAGTCATTCCGTGCATCTGACTGACTGACTGACAATTTCTATTTCTGCGCATTGCAGGTGGGCTACGTCCCAATCCCACATGTCGAGTACACGGACGCCGCACTCGACCTTGTGATCGAGAACCTCACGCTCGCGGGGCGCACCCAGACTCCTCCCGCACGTCTTCGCGGTCGAGGCGCAAAACTACGTCCGTCTCAGCCCGTACGCGCCGCGGCGCGGGACGAGGTGCAGTTCCCGTTCGCGCAGATCCAGGCGGACATGTGCGGCGTTGCGTTTTGGTTCCAGACCAAGTCGGGGATACGGATGAGCGACGTCACGGTGGGGCGCGCGGACGTAGTGCGAGGCGGGCAGGGGTCACGGTGCGCTCCCTCCCTTCCCCTCCCCGCCTCTTCCCTTCCCTGGGCGTAGCTGATGGCTTCTTCGCAGGCGACAGTGATGCTGGCGTCCTCGGCCGCACCGGACCCTGCGAGCGTCTTCCCGGTGACGCACGTGCGCGTCACGTTCGGCGCGCTCCGGTTCCGCATCCGCGACTCGACGCACGATTTATTTATTTTTTGTTGTACAAGGTGCGCAAGCCGCTCGCGACGCGCCTCGTCAAGGCGCAGATCAGGGGCGCTGCACACGGCGTGCAAGTACGCCGCCAGGCAGCTTGTGGGCGTGCGCGATCGCGTGGCGGAGGCGCACGCATGCGAGGGGGGGTGGGAGGAGGGAGGTGTTCTTTACCTTGCTCTTGCGCCTCCATGATTGGTTTACGGCGCTGACGCAAGGATGCGTGGACAGATCTTCAAGCGCAAGAAGGACGCGAGCTCGGGTGTGTCCGCCGCGGCAAGCGCCTCGCACTCCCAATCAAAGATCGTCGCGAACAACGCACGGCGGCGGAGGACGCGCTCGCGGTGCAGGCGGACGAGTGGCGCTCGGATACCGATGCAGATATTGTCGATAAGAAGAAGCATGGTGCCTCGTCCAATGTCGGGCCGAAGCTGTAGGTAGGTCTGAGCGCGGTGGGCATATCGCGGGGGACGTGTGCGATGTCATATGTAGGTGGGGGATTGATACCATGTACCGGATTGTGCTATTAGTGACCATAGGTTTCTTACACGTAATATAGGCCGCAAATATAATGGCCTTTGATTTGGATGTTTTGCCTGAGCACTTTTGTTGCAAGGTACTTGTTCTTTCTCCATATTTAAGTGTCTGAATGGGCTCTTGTTCTACATCGCGAGCTACTCGTTGAACGTTTGTTCAAGCAGACTGACTGCACTGTCTGAACGAAAAAAAAAAATCAGTTCAGGCAACTCAACCCAAGGTTGCGCTCCTCGGTTCTCCTTCGTCTCTGTTGGTCATCATTATAAATTGATCATCGAGTCTTTAGAGTCGTCGTATGCGCATTCTTTTTGTCCACAAACGCGTTGCATGGGAAGCCGGTGACGCCGATCGATTGCCCTTCCGAGTGCTGCGATCATCAACCGCTCCTTACTTCCGACGGTCATCTTCTGGTTCACACTCGTTCCAGCTGCTTTCTCATGTAATCAGCTGCTTACAGTTCAACTTCCTGGGCATACACCTTTCTCCACTGCTTCTGCTCAAAGTGCCGCCATTCGACTTGCGCACTCGTCCAATTTCCGATGGGCACTGGCCTTCGCTGCTTCTCGTTACATTTCGTCTCCCGCTCGGACTCTCTGCTACGATCATATCACACTTATCACATTGCATCTGGCAACTTGTTTGACTGCATCCGATTCTATTTGGCGACCTGCGACAAAGTCCGGAGAGAGTGCCCCAGTAGACGGAATAATTTCCGTCCTGTCGATCGCAGGCCTCCGAGTCGGGCGGAGTCACATGGTGGTCGTGGATGCAGCATTATATCTGAGGTCTGCCAGATTTCCATTGACAATTGTCTAGCCTGCGTATTACCTCATGGTGCGGACGATCAAGGCGCTCGGCGACCAGCGCCCCCAAAAACTTCCTCGTTCCCGCACGTACATACGACGTCGGACGCAAATGAAAATGAATGATCAAATGGCCCAGGGGGGAAAGTACGATAAACACCCGGGGAAACCTAGCCTACATTCGAACCAGGCGCCCCATCCTTAATTATCTACACGGAGTTCTTTGGGGATT